TGTTTCCACTGGGATTCTGGCATACTGTGAGGATGAAGGCTGGTCTGGGACTGATATTTTCACAGAAGAGGTGACATCAGTCCTGGAACTCTGCAAAAGGTGAGAGGACACAGGAGATGTATGTATATTTATTGGTATTGCTGTGCTGCTGTCCAGAAATGTGCTAGTCTCCCTTAATCCAGAAGTCACATGGGAAAGTGGATCTGCCTTAAACTTGGTGGTCCCAAAATAGGCAGGCATTGATGTGGGCATAGTGGTTTCCCCCATGGAGAAGGCAGTACCCATTGAATGTGCAGCTCTGGATGGGTCGGAATGAGTTGGGACAGACGAAGGTAGTTTATGTCCCAAACTGGTGGTGTCCTTACTGGTCACAGCTGTGTCTGAGGAAGGATGCACTGCTTCTGTATCCGTGGTGACTTCAGACACGGTCAGTATCTTATCTGAGGTGCTGCCAAAATTTGGAGGTGAACTGGTTCCCAGTTCTGGGNGGTCAGTATCTTATCTGAGGTGCTGCCAAAATTTGGAGGTGAACTGGTTCCCAGTTCTGGGCTTGTGCTGGACACATGTTTGATCTTTGCCAGGCCAGAGGTGAGCGATGAAGTCATAGGAAGAGGAGAGAAGGGGCTACTCTCTGGTAATGTGGAGGAAACAGGAGATGGTGGGGACATGTCAGGTAAAGAGAGCAGGGAAGAGGCAGAGCTGGTGTCTTCCACAGAGGGAGGGCTCGTCCATGACTCATTCTCAGGACCGCTGCTTGTAAGGGTGGTCATCTCTGAGTGTGGAAATCCCTGAGTCACAATTGAATGAGTTCCTGCCCAGAAGGTTGTGGTTGTTGTATCCAAGGTAAGGGTACCCTGCAATGTGGCCCCAGTAGAGCCTGCTTGGCTAGTGACGGCCCTTTCTTCAGATTCTGTCATGACAGGCAAAGTAGAGAGCCTAGTGACTGTTCCCATGAAGATATTTGGTAACTTTGTTGACTGAGTAGGGCCAGGCATGGATGTTGTGTTAGAGAAGATGACGTCTGTGCTGGAGACCTCAGTTGTAGTGTCAGCAGGCACAGTGTAAAGGACAGTGCTTGTCTCGGTGGATGAGCTGGTCTCCTGGGAGGTGTTGGTCTCCCTCAGTCCAGGGGTCAGGGAGGACACTGTCTCAGTCTCAATCTGTGTAGTCACAGGGGAACTAGGCACTGACATGGAAACCATGGTGTCTCCCATGGTGGAGCCGGTAACCATTGTAGATGTGGCTTTAGATGACTCTGAGTCAGTTGTGACAGTAGAATGGGATTGAGATGCTGCAGCAGCGGTCCCCACACCATTCACTACTGTGTTTATGTGAGGATAAATTGTCTCTATATATGTGGTGGCTTCTGAAGTGGCCGGTATCTCATCTGAAGTGTTGCTCAAACTTAGGGGTGAACTGGTCACAGACTCTAAGCTTGTATTCAACGTGTCTGTGGTTTTAACAAGTCCATAGGTGAGGACTGAGGTCCTAGAAACAGGGGAGGAAGTACCGTGTCCTTGTGATGTGGGAGTAACAGGAGACAGTGAGGTTGTGACAAGGATAGGTTTTAGGGAAGAGGCAGAACTGGTTTCTTCCACAGAGGCAGAGCTAGTCCATGACACATTCTCAGGACCTTTGCTCGTAAGAATGGTCATCTCTGAGTGTGTAAGTCTCTGAGTCACATCTGAGTGGGTCCCTGACCAGGAGAGTGTGCTTGAGGTATCCGTGGAAAGGGTTTTATGTGATTTAGTTCCAGGAGGACCTGTTTGTGTGTTAAAGGTCATTTTTGTTAATTCTGTCACGTCAGAGAAGGAAGAGAACTTGGTGATGGTTTCTGTGGGGATGTCTGGTGTCATTGTGGCCTGAACAGGGTCTGGAATGAATGTTCTGCTAGAGGAGATGACTTCTGTTCTGGAGACCTCTGTAGAAGCACTGGGGGGCAGATTAGAAATGACAGTGCCTGTCTCTGTGGCTGAGCTGGTCTCCTCAGATGTGATGGTCTCCTTCAGTCCAGAAGTCAGGGAAGAAATGGGTTTTGTATGAATCTTCCTAGTTTCAGAGAAGGCAGGAGTTGAAGAGGAAACAGTTATGTCCCCAGTGGTGGAGGTGGCAGCCATTGGCGATGTGGCTTTGGATGTCTCTGAGTCAGCTAGATCAGAGGAATGTGATTCGTGTCCAGAACTCGTGATTCCTACATGGGTCACTGCTGTGTTCGTGAAAGGTTTCACTACTTCTGTATCTGCAGTGCTGCTTAAATCTGGAATTGATAAATTGTCTCTATATATGTGGTGGCTTCTGAAGTGGCCGGTATCTCATCTGAAGTGTTGCTCAAACTTAGGGGTGAACTGGTCACAGACTCTAAGCTTGTATTCAACATGTCTGTGGTTTTAACAAGTCCATAGGTGAGGACTGAGGTCCTAGAAACAGGGGAGGAAGTACCGTGTCCTTGTGATGTGGGAGTAACAGGAGACAGTGAGGTTGTGACAAGGATAGGTTTTAGGGAAGAGGCAGAACTGGTTTCTTCCACAGAGGCAGAGCTAGTCCATGACACATTCTCAGGACCTTTGCTCGTAAGAATGGTCATCTCTGAGTGTGTAAGTCTCTGAGTCACATCTGAGTGGGTCCCTGACCAGGAGAGTGTGCTTGAGGTATCCGTGGAAAGGGTTTTATGTGATTTAGTTCCAGGGGGACCTGTTTGTGTGTTAAAGGTCATTTTTGTTAATTCTGTCACGTCAGAGAAGGAAGAGAACTTGGTGATGGTTTCTGTGGGGATGTCTGGTGTCATTGTGGACTGAACAGGGTCTGGAATGAATGTTCTGCTAGAGGAGATGACTTCTGTTCTGGAGACCTCTGTAGAAGCACTGGGGGGCAGATTAGAAATGACAGTGCCTGTCTCTGTGGCTGAGCTGGTCTCCTCAGATGTGATGGTCTCCTTCAGTCCAGAAGTCAGGGAAGAAATGGGTTTTGTATGAATCTTCCTAGTTTCAGAGAAGGCAGGAGTTGAAGAGGAAACAGTTATGTCCCCAGTGGTGGAGGTGGCAGCCATTGGCGATGTGGCTTTGGATGTCTCTGAGTCAGCTAGATCAGAGGAATGTGATTCGTGTCCAGAACTCGTGATTCCTACATGGGTCACTGCTGTGTTCGTGAAAGGTTTCACTACTTCTGTATCTGCAGTGCTGCTTAAATCTGGAATTGAGCTGGCCTCTAGTTTGGGGCTTTTGTCGAACATGTCTGTGGTTTTCACCAGACCAGAGGTGAGCAGTGAAGTCGCAGGAAGTGAAGAGGAAGGGCTACTCTCTGGTGAG